GTAGCTGTTTAGATACGTAATATCACAGCCAATAAGCGCCTCGTTGCAGTCTAATGGTTAAGCATTATGAATCTTGGCACGAAACCCATAGAAATGTGAAAAAAATTTATTATTGAGTTATCCATGAAATATCTGATTATTTGATGAACATATGTCTTATGATCGTTTTTGACCGCTAAATCACACTTGTTAATCTTTTTTTAATGGATTTCCGAAGCCGCTGACCTGCTTTCCAAAAAGTCAATCAATTCTTTGTTACGTCAAAATAAGTTAAATATTTTATATATTACTCATATCGAAATCTCTGTTTTCTCAAAAACTTAATTGCCATTTCCTGCACTTTTAACCTGGTCTTCGAAACGGCTGGACCTTTGCCAAAAACTAATCAGCACTCCATCAATAGAAATCGAACTTTTTTTAAATCATTCAAATCTGTTGATCCATGCTTTCGAAATTGTAGACGAAAAAATGTATCCGCACACCATACAATATTTTTTTTTATGGGCGATGGTCTTGAAACATGAACATATGCAAAAATTTTCATTTTTGATTATTTTTGATTACTTTAACTTACCCTACGCGAGTAGGGTAGGGTAATTATAGTAAATTCAGTATAATGTTTTCAAGTTGCAATTGCAAAATAGTTTAATCAGAATGGTACCAAAAACAGGTTTTAAAACTGCAGGTATGGGATAACTATACGTTTTATATAAAAATATTCAAAAGCAATTTTCAGTCTTCTAAAACATTTCAATACGATTATTACCTTCTAGTCACTTTTGTGACTATTTTGTTGCATTCTATGATTATATATTAATTTACATTGACGCTCTTATAGGATTATCATATAGGCTAATTTGAATTACTGACTTATATTTTCCATAATTAAACCTAGGTTTCATATCAAAGTATAATTCACACATTATTTCAGAAAATAATTTACACAATAATAGCAAGTACAGTAATACCCCGTTTAACGCCGTCGTATCGTTTAGCGCTCTTTTAATTTCAACCCAGTGTTCAAGGGATTTCTAATGGTGAGCTCAAGGAATTAA